TTAGTTTGATGAGTGAAAGTTTTGTACTATTTTTTTACATATCCGAGTTCTCTACAAAGCAAGTTTCGCTGTACAGGACTCAGCACACTGACACCTTTGCGCTGCTCGTTACTGGCTACCGCACTCATTACGACCCCCCCCTCTCCTGGCGGCCAAATACGACCCCCCTGTTGGGGATTCCCCAACCAACGATGTGCCCTGCTGGGGAATGTACGTGTTGCGATGCGAAGGAGATCCAGAGAATAAAAACGGTTGCAGGGATTAGAATAATTGCATGGAGTAGTGTTCGTAAGATCTTAGGCCCGTTGGATGCTCCAATACATCATTTTTCTATTTATAAATGTACTTGTATAATCGGGTTTCAATGGCACTCATCAAAAATAGTCCGCGTTTGGGTCAGAATTTCTCATGACATTGCAGCGGAGTCTTTACACATTACTGAGGCATCTTGTTGAAGCATTTTCCAGATGAAAATGTCACGAGACTTCCCCGAAAATTGATTAAATTGGTAGAACAAAATAGTTTTGCATGTGTTCTCCTTCACAGGTCCCGCATTCATTCCGTGATAAATGCCCTGCTTCTTTCCATGTTCGAGTAGTGGTTTCAATTATCCACATTCTTATATATGGTTCTGATGACAGTATAGCCTCCTTGTCGTGTGCTTACCACTGCCTGCTTGCTTCCTGTTTTTCGTGCGATACGAGGAATGATCAAGCAGTTTTCCGGAATACAGTGCGAGTACCAGATCCATACTCAGCCCTACTCACAGCTTCAAGAATAAGCTCGCAGTTGAAACCTGAATTACTAGGCATTCTAGGAGTGGTGCTGAAATGAGGAGAAAAAGTTGTGCATAGTGCAACAACATTCGTTCACTAATCTGGAAGGCGAAAAGTTTCCCATTCCGATGCAGTCGTGTCTTTAAACCTAAACAGATTCTTATTTGATCGAGAATTAAGACAAAGCTACTTGGACTGGGTTGCGGTGAGCTGCGTTCATAATTCTCGTCTGCGTTCGAGCGTTTTGGGCGAAAAGGAAAGTTAGCTGTCGACCTACTGTTTAAATTTTGTCGGAATACTAGCGTTTTGAGAAAAGTATAGTGTAGGTGTCGATCGGCACTAAAAACGCCGGCTCGTTACCTACCATTCTTCTCGCCCAGAACGTTCAAAAATGCACGAGGCCATAGTAACCACAACACATACGTGCTGTTGTCGTGAGATGCTGTGTTCGGTGTGCACCTAGATTTATTTGCGGCTCCTTTGGGGTTACAAGATATCTGTCAACCGAAATTTCTCTAGCTATGAGAATTAGACGACGAGGCAGTTATGACGTGTGCTGGCCGTCGCCGGGAGATGGGCGTGTACGCTCGTCGTCTTCCCTCTCCTGCAAGGCGGTCTCTCGTAGGAAGCAGCACGTGTAGCGACTTCCTACAAGAGGGTGAAAAGTGCATAAGAACACTCCAAAGATCCGCAGTTTGTTTATTTGCTCGGACAAATGAATGACTGGAGGATAATGAACGAAATATGATTTGAGGGAAAAGGTGGAAGGTTCAAGATACAGAAAGGGGTGACGAACAGCGTCAATTACACTAGCATTGGTGAATAACTCATCCAAATTATGACAACCAGCAACTCATATACAATATATAGGATAAGCATTGGAGAAAATCTCTGGTTAATTCTTCTAAAACATTTGTATTATCGCATAGGGTTAGTCTATAACATACGAATGGGATGGATTTGATGACATAGTTTGCAACTTTCTTCAAACCTGTACCGCCTAAAAACTTATTCAATTCCAGGTATCTTTTTAGAAGTTTGGAAATATGGCGCTTCATTATGCCCGCAGTGTCGAAAGTTTCGCTTGATTGATCCACGGATTATGTTGCATTTTTTAAGAATTAGTCATGAATTCCACACGTTGTTGGGAATGTAATAAATAACACACTTAAATTGGTCCCACCCCTGGTCCCACCGTCTGTGCAGACCTGGCGGAACCCGGATGCGTAGCTTATTATTCTAGAGCACACCACATACTCCACCTTCGTGCAGTGAAAAGCTTTCCTTCTTGCCCATTTCCTTCTTCTTCTTCATTAAAGACTTCGGAACACGCGAGCGCGCACTGCCTTTCAGCTGTGTTTTTGTGTCTGTAAAAGGCGATGTATGAAGGAGATATGATTGCTAAAGGCGTGACGACCCTCACTTGAGTCCCAAATACGGCACCTGTTTCCCGCCAGAGATTTGCTGTGTTGGGGGTGGTTCAGTGGTGTTTTATATCAACGGCAAGAACAAGAGGAATAAGTTGTAATAAGCTCTTTATGTAACGGAACCCACGTATACTCGATGAGGATGATTGAGGAAGTATGATTCCCCTACCTGGCTTGACCCCGCATCAGGTAGGGGGCGGACTCAATGAGGGATCGTCGTCTCAGACTGTGAGACGACGATGAGGGAATGGATCGTCGTCAGAGACGACGATATGCTCTGCAATGAAAAGCTTCGGGAAAGGTTGAATAAATTGCATAAATATAGAATTCTACGATAATTCCTCTGTTTCTCCGAGTACGAAAAGCTTTGGTTGCCTGAGAACTGCCTTCACTTGCGAGCTATCCACGCAATAATCACGTGAAGTGGTCAATGGAGCCGATGGGGATCGGTGGGAGCCTTCTGTCTGCGCTCTAGCAATCCTGTGCGGAGACGTAGAGTGACGCGAGAGTGTAAGAGACGCCGACGACGAGACAAAATGCTGAGTCACCCACTGCCGCGGTTGACAGAAATCCTGACCTTTTTTGGGGGTACGGCGGACGAGAGTTATGAACGCAGCCCACCGCAACCCAGTTCAAGTATTTTTGTTTTCATTCTAGATCAAATAAGGAATCTGTTTAAATCCAAGGACAGCGCGACTGCATCGGAATGGGAATCTTCTCGCCTTCCAGATTAGTGAACGAATGTTGTTGCACTTTGCAGAACTTTTTCTCCTTATTTCTACACCACTCTTAGAATGCCTAGAGTAGTTAAAGCTTGTTAAAGCGTCAACTGCGAGCTCATTCTGGAAGCTGTGAATAGGGCTGACTATGGATCTCGTAGTGTATTTAAAAAAAACCATGTTTGTCATCATTCCTCGTATCGCACGAAACCAGCTGGAAGCAAGCAGGCAGGGGTAACCGCAGGACAACGGAAGGAGGCTATCACTGTCATCAGAACCATAGGAAATGTGGGTAATTGAAATCACTAGTCGAAAATTAGAAAATGGAAAGGAGCAGGGCTGTCATATGGATGATGGCTTACATCAGAGATCCTCGACCCGATCTCGTCTGGCGGAGCCACCCACGCCGACTCGCTGGATGATGACGCATCATGGAAAGGCTACTTAAGAGCCGCTCACGGAGAGAGAGGGAGTTATCTACCCCTGGCTGGCAGCAGCCTCCGACTGGCCGCTGGCCTTGGCCTGCCTTATCCTTCCTACCTTGCTTCCCTATGTTCATGCTTAATACGAATAAACATATATAAAAACTGATGTTCTTATTCTATACCGCTACACCCATCGGATGAAGGCCCGTACACCCTTCAATCTGATATGGAGGTCAGATCCTTTTTTTTGGTAACTACTAGTAGTTTCTTTCCTGAACGGGGGGAATAGTACCTAACATTTTTCCCTCCCTCTTTAACTATTGATTTTCGCCACCTGGGAACCAAACCTCATAAACCCCCTTCCACAGCCCTCCCTCCGTCTTCGACTGACACTACTACTTCTTGCACGACGAAGCATAACGAACGAACGACCTTCATGTGAGTCACAATTAATCATAAGAAAATATAATGAATTAAGTAAAACTTTAGGACCCGATCGCCATAAAGTCGTAAGTGAAGTTTCCTGGTCGAAAGTCACAAGGAACGGCAAACAGCTAATCGCTAGCAATTACAAAGCGCTTACAGCCGTGCTACAGAATCCGAAACTCTCCCCTCTACACTCAGAAGCCCATCATATTGCGCTCAATTCCGAACGCAACTTTTTCGTCATGAACAATGACATGACTCTATCACATGAGCAGCGCCAGGATAGTCGCCATGCAGAATTGAGCACTAAAATGCAATTCCTTGAGTTAAAAATGGAGGAAGTGATCCAACAAGATTTTCACTTCCACTTGGACCGCATTTGCTCCTTAATGAACTTCAAAATTCAGGCAATTAAAAGTATTGCTCAAATTAACCCTACCAGCGCGGCCCGCATGCTCCTCAATAGAGAGGACATATTCGCACTACCAGCAGCGGACGTCCCAATGATATCTAAATGCAAAGACACTGTGATAGATGAGATCATCTTTGACCACAATATAGCGGGAACATGCTACGAATTTACACCTGTTCGATCCGGGAAAACCTACTACTTCATACAACCAGGGACGCGCGACCTCATAACATCTAGTCCACAGGCAGACTGTGGCCATTTGCCATTTGGAATTTATAACGATGGGAACAACCATTACAGATCCCCTTCGGGCTATGCACAGGTTACAAATATCCACATGAACCTTCCCAGCGGAGTAGCAAATCAAGACTTCGTCTTCAATGCCCCTCCCATATTCCATTCTGACCTGGCCAAGATTTCTACAGATATTTACCTCATTAAGAATCACTTGAACTCTATGGATGGCCCCTTTTCAACGCATGCAAATAGCGCTCCGACCAATATCCAAATAGCCACAGAAAACATCGAAGGGAGAACTAGCAAACACAGCCCGATTTTTGGATTCTAATGCAAGAGAAATCCTCCAACGCAAAAGGAAAGAGTTCTAAAGTCATTCGGCCTACATAGGGCAGTGAAAATAATCGTTTGGATGAGTATAATTATTCTCATTATAATCGCGATAGCCGTATTATACTTCAATACACAATTGGTACGTTTAATTGTCAACTGTATCTGCAAAAACATATAAATTTTGATTTCACTTATCGTTGCGACTCTATATACCAAAAAAGGTCACCACCACCCAGTCCATCCCCTAAAAGCACCGTCCTCATAGCACCACCTCCCGTCAACGATCGTCCAACGTTGCCAGCGCGACGACAAAGGCGCTTCTCCAATAACACTAACGCGGACACCGAACCACATCAAGTCTCGGTCCACTTTCCTACCTATACAGAAATATCTCTTCAGGACATGCTACCCTCAAGTTCCCAATCTCTTCCCGAAAAGCACAAATCCTGTTCAACCCAAACCGTTCCTCAACTTCCTTCCTAATATCAATTCCGTCTCTACCCAAAAACCCAGCCGCAGAATATTCGTGCCAACGATATTCAGTCAAAAGTCCATCGTAGCCCTCTTCGACACGGGTGGGGACATAACCGTGGTATCCCAAAGTGTAGCAAAATTCTTGGGCGTTTCACCTTCACCATCCTCTTTAAGAATGGGTATGGCCGCTAACCACCTACCAGTAAAAATCCTAGGCCAATTCGAGGCAGACCTTACAATAGGGAATAAGACACTTCAGATAACTTGCTATATTTCTCCGGATGGGGAATGCAATTCTTCCCCGTTCCTTCTAGGCTTTGATGTCATCGACACTTTCTCCGATTCTATGGGTCTTCACTTCCGGCAACGTAAAATCTCTTTCGAAAACTGCATGGTTTCTTACATGACTATCAATCCGGAGGATAACAAAACCTTCACATTTCCGGTATCCTTAGCAGATAACACAATTTTGCAACCATTTTCAGACCACTTAATTCGGGGTAACATTAACATTTCCTTTCCTCCATACTGGGAATTTCTCACTACGGACAACTGCAATAATAGCTTGCCACTAGGCATACATGTAGGAAAAACATTGTCCTGCCCCTCCATGGAAGGTATAGTAGCCTTACGTATATTTAACTTCGGTGCCAATCCAGTTACGTTACCGAAAAACACGAACGTAGCTACAGCGTCTTTTGTAGGTATTAACATGCAGTGGAAATCGATATTCTCTGTAAACACTGACCATAATTCCTACTATAATCATAATCCATTAGAAGACAATCAAGCCGACACAGCTGTCAACTACATACCGCCAGAATCTGATTACGTCAAGGATTTACCTCACTTCCCAACTGCTCAGGCTGACCTACCAATAGAAAACCGCGTACAAATTAACAAATCTTTATTAAACCAGCACCAATTTAGATTATTCACAAACCTACTGAATAAGTACCAAAAATGTTTTGTAGGTAATGATGGCCAATATCCCACAGTATCAATTTCATTCCACACTCTAAAATACCCCGACAAAAACGTTATCGAGAGATTATTAAAAACGTTATCGAGAGAGTGAGGAACCTCCCCAAGAATATCGTGCAGGCAAACATAATACCTTATGCGACTTCCTCAGCCGCTATCCGTTACCAAGGATCAACTCAATAGCAGTTCAGTCTTTTCCTTCTCTCGACGACATCCGCAATAGTCAGAGAAACTCCAAGTACGGCGAACTCATCAGGTTTCTCAACAATGAGAGTGAGGAACCTCCCCAGGAATTTGAGAACAAACTGCACAACTTCTCAATTCAAAATAATTCTTTATTCTATACTATCCAGATAAACCAAAATTACTCATTCCGGAACCAGCAATGCAAACGAACATAATAGCGATATTTCATGAAAACCCACTCCTAGGATCCCACTTAGGAATCCACAAAACGTATAAAAAGATTAAAGAAAAATATTTCTGGCCTAATCTCTATCAGGACGTCACTACATACATCAATAGCTGTCCTGTGTGCCAGAAAGTCAAAACACCATCCAAACATATTATACGTGAAGAGTTGGGTGCGTTTCCGATTCCGCAACGTCCCTTCGAACGGATTCACACCGACGTCATTGGGCCTCTTCCCCAATGCGAAGACGGAACCAAATTCATCGCTATTACGGTATGTAGCTTTCAGCAAATAC